TTTTTTTTTCATAGTGGTCTTTAAACGCTGTTTAGGACAACCGGGATCATGTTTGTCAAAGTTTAATACAATGCCATTTATGTTTTGTAACCTCAACAGTGTCTGCCATGTATCAAGTCGAAACGACTATTCTTTTTGGCTTTCAACAGCCGAACCGATGACTCAAACGATGAATCCGGTAAAACTGCAAAAATAAAAATTACTTTCGCATCTGCACTATCCGAATAAAAAACTGCTGTAAATTAAGGTATCCGGAGCAGCTATAAAGCCATATATTTCGAGGTGTGCTGTCTGTGAAATCCCTGCTCAAATCATTGCCGTTCACTCACAAGACACTGCAATTCCAAGCTGCCCTCAAGGATGGCGACCTTTGTATGCAGGATACTCATTTGTCATGGTATGCTAGTTGCTTTTTACTAACAACGACAATAACTAACGACACTACTGTGGGTTTCAAAAACGTTATTAGTAGAAACCAAACTTTCAGACAACGTATTTTACAATGGCACATCCATAATTTTTTTCCAGCACACTGCAGCGGGGGCAGAGGGCACTGGCCAGAACCTTCAGTCGTCCGGTAGTTGTTTGGAGGAATTCCGAGCCGTACCATTCATCGAGTGTCATGGGCGAGGAACGTGCAACTACTACGCAACAAACCACGGCTTTTGGCTAGCCATAGTTGATAAGGTTATATACTTACTAAATCCACTTGCCATTAAGTCCCTAACAGGAAAAAATGTAGAACTCCACGCATATTTTCACCTCCTTTGAAAACCAATCAAACGTGTTTTTGAATCTCACCGCACGACTAAGAATAAAATGCACCTGGATTCTCCTTCCTCCTCCCGAAGAATTCAAAAGTGAAAAAGTTTCTTACAGAACAAGCAATGGCGAAAACCAATGTCACAAACGCTGAAGGCGGGAGGGCTAAAAGACCGTGTAAGCCGATGCCAAGTGTGTCTCAAAAACCCATGGTTTGCCCTATCTTTCAATCTCAGTTCTATCCAGCAGACCCTTCTAAAAATCAATTAAAACCAATTTTTTCCAGAAAAAGACACCCCGCGAACAACCACACTAGAGGTGTCTCAACCGACATTAACATCAAGGCACCAGGATTTGTAAACAAACAAGACATCGATGACACTACTCCGTAACCAGAGACCGGTTAAGCTGTGCCAGTCCCATTCAATAAAGTATAAACTAATTGCATCCATCCACACTTAACTGAACTAAAGCAGTTATGAAAAAATTCACGTAACACAAGTGACCGGTTGCTAATTCGATTCCTGATACTTCAGGAATCAAATCGTCGTCAGTACTGACAGCACAAAACAAGGCATTGCTTTAAAAATGCAACCAAACTAAATATCTACTAAAACTTTGCACCACTTCTCTCCTTTACAAAATTAATTCAGACATCCATACAGATAACTACCGTAAAAAACTATAGTTGACCAAAATTGATCCCCGCTTCAACATGTTCAAAATTTATTCAACACTAGACCAATCAGTTACAAAAGCAGCGCGTCAGATCAACTCTACGCTTCTTTTCAAGCGTACTAACACCCAGAAATCCCGGCATAGAAATTTTGAGCAAGGCCGAGTACACCTAAATAACTAATGAATAGGCTGCCATCTACTTCACACAACGACACCTGACGAGGATCTAGATTTGTTCTCAGTGGCTTAAAGCAATGAATAAAGTAAACGAAGTCATATTAACGGAAAAGGTGCCACTTCGTTGAGCTTCTTTTAATTAAGATAGAAATATCAAATAAGAACTTTACGACCTCCCACTTGTTTCAAGTGCAAAAAGATATGCAACAAAACATTTCTTTACATCCAACAATAACAAACGTGAAAAATTGACAAATCAATCTTCTACAATAGTTGTTTTTTCACTGACATAAATGCCATCAAGAAACTTCCGTATGTCCTTGTTCTTTACTGTAGTAGACTGTTGAATACGGGCGGCTAAAAAAATAATTATCAGAAATAAGCGTGACGTAACAATTCCTTGCAAAACAAATTTTATAAAAGCCATACTGAACAAATAAACTATGAAAAAATTACACCACCTAATCGCTTTTGAGTCCACATTACCCATCTAATTTGACAATAAAATCTTTAACTGTTTACCAAAAGCAACCAAAACGCACTTTGAAAAATTACTAAAACCGATAAACGATGTAAAAACCTGGCTTATCTTGTTTGAATACCAACTGATAGTACTATAGCATCTCTGGTAAAATGCTTACGCTAGTAGTACAAACCTGCTTGAGAAACACGTTCAATATCGTTGCCTTCAATAATGAGTTCATCTTTCTGCGTCGTTGACAAGACTGCCGTTACACCTTCTGGAAGATGGACGCGTCTAACAATTTTTTCTCCCAAAAAGTTACGAATCTGAAAAGATCAGGCTTCTAGGAAAAAGGCAGCTTCTAAGAGCCTCAAAAGAAAGTAGCACAATCGTAAACAGCAGGCTTTCCTCATTGCTTAAAATGCATACACTCCATACTCCAAAGATTACTGTCACAATAAATAAATGTACAAAAAAGAAACCCGCGATTTCCCAATATACTGTACTTAAAAATACTAAAAGATTCCCTACCATCAATTAAAAACATATGCTTTGGAAAAACACTAACTTCGACAACAGTGTTCTTGTCCTGCAATGAAACGTTGATAGGAAAATGCGCATAGACCGAACGCATTTTATACCTATAACCTTTCGTCACGCCCTTAATCATATTTTCAATATGGGAGCATATTGTTCGTATAGCAGCAATTTCCTTTTTAATACCGAACCACTTTCGTACTCTAATTTTATCTTTTCCGACTCTTTCCATTTCAACTGACTGATGGCCAAAATCTCGCTTAAGCGTTCCCCTAGGGCCCTTCACAGTAACTATCCTTCTATTTAAAGTGAACTCCACACCAGGAGGAAATGTAACCGTATCTGACGACTCAATTACTTTCATACTGGTTACCTGAAACAAAAAAAAATAAAAAAAAACAACTCCACCTTCTACACTTGAAGGACTTTCCGATGGTTAATTAGTGAAGGAAAACTGTTTTTAAACAACCAATATCGGCCAGCTAAGTTAATCACCCTGCCTTCTAAATCTACCCTGCATCAAAATTCAGTTTTTTGCAACTGAGGGCAGCTAAGTTATTGTACGAAGATGCGGATCACATTCTAGGATATGATGTGGTAGACAATAAAAATATCCCCTTCAAATATATATCGAATACAGAGAATACAGAAGTATAAAGAAATGCAATTTAAACAACAGCAGCTCAACAACACGTCAGGCTCCTACTAACACAAGTTAAGAAAACTATTAATATACAATAAACTTCAAAATAAAACAAGAACAGACAGATGTCAAGATGAGGACTCCCGCTAGCAGACTTCTACCAAAAAGTTCAAAATAAGACTGTAATCCGTACACTGCATTTTAAGCAATGAAGCTCCCATCTGCACGCTTTCAAGACCTTTAATCTCTTGAAAACTTGCAGCAACTAAATGAACATTTATTATCAACAACCCGTTGAAAGAAACTAACTTATTTCTCCAGAAATAAATTTTAATCCTCCAATCAAACGAACTTAACTAGAAATGGCTTTGAACATTAACCCTGAAGCGCATAATGCCCCATTTCTCACTAAGTTTAAAAAGTCAGCTTTTGAAGCTCAGCCAGCAAGTCACTAATCAAAACACGAATGTTGCGTCAGTACGGAACAATAATTACAACAGCAACATTGCTTGCAAAAGAGATATGTAAGGCAAAATTTTTAAAAATGCACATGCAAGACAGACCTGAAATAAAAAATTTTCAAAAAATATAATAAGACAAAAAGTCCACAATTGAAAGCTAGTAGCCTTAGGATTACCCGGCAAAACATCCTGAGAACTTTATTTTGAACAATATTTAAAGACTTCTTTAAACTTGAATAAAAAGAAAGTAGGTACGAAATGTTTCAAAGTGCCATACATTACAACCAAAAATTATTAAATATCTTAATCCTGACCGATTCAATACGAAAAAAATCATAAGAGTCGAAACTTCACATAAAAGCCTAAAAACCGGACGGGAGCCTACAACTAACCAGATGAAAGAACGAGAATGTAAAGCGACCAATACCAGAAATGCATCGAAAAACCCAAGTTGCTTTTGGATTGCAATATTTCACTAAATCCAAAAGCAGCTCTCAGAATTCTACATATATTGTACAAAATACAAGACTTTCTTCCCGTTATTGCACTTTACTTTTGAAGGTGTAACCTTTTGTTCGTAAAAAATTGAAGTTTCCTACTGCTAAAAAACCCCAGAAGAATAATAATGTTAAACGAAGTGATAGAGCGAAGAAAAGACTGCCAGATCACTAGCGAATGCTAAAAACTCATTAAGTATAAACTTTAAATAGAAAATGAAAGTAAAATATTCCCAAAGTAAGTTCAAAGTTTGGAAATGTTACCAGTAGTTAAATAATATATCGTAGTCTTCCTACCAACAATTTGTCGCTTTAAGACTGAGAATTTCATAAATTGGACATTTGCCAACTCAAGCAATTTTTTCACCAGTCAGCTTCCTTTGCCGAGTACGGGCATAATTACTAAGTTCAGTCAATGCAGTTGGTGAAAATCTCGCCCTCTTTGATTCCTCTTCATTTACCTTCCTTGATACATGCGCTGCTGGGAAATGACTGTTTTCTGTTTGGTAAGAAGGGATTTTGTGAGCGCAACATTGAGTTTTTTGTAACGGTTGTTCTGTATTTTGTTTCACACTGGTTTATCTTTCGCAAATTCAACGGATAGGACCCATGGCAATGATATGTCCAATTAGTAGTAGGACTGCTTAAATTGACCGAAGTCTGCAAATGTTCTACTTTTCTATACGTAACTTAACATATGATGTTTTGTTCGGCTGAAAACTTTTTCATTATGATGGATTATGGCTGTCGTGACTGTTTTTTAACGCGTATTCAAACCAGATTTGTAATGGTTCAATAATTATTTGCGGTAATGATAGTTTTTATCTGTTATTTTTTACGTCATTTCGTTAATAAAATTGGTGTCACTCTCAACCTTAAGTTTGTATCTACTTTCAGACTTAGGTGCGTAATTATTGCTCCCACTTATTTATGCAATGCGGATCAAAAAAAAGGTACATTTGCTCATCATTATGCTTTCGGCTATATTTCCTTTTTCTGTGATGGTCGTTATTTTTCAAGTACATTTTCTTCTTTTCTCCAGTATCACCTTGTTAAGATAACTCCTTACAGTACGAGTCTGGCGCAGCTTCGAATTATATTACTCGGAACAGGGCGTTAAGAAAGTTGCAGTTGAGTCTGAAAGATTTTAGACGCCTTTGTATTTTGAAAGGGATTTTTCCTCATGATCCGCTTCATAAAAAAAAGGTTAATAAAGGCAGCACAGAAAATCGTGTCTATTACTACGTAAAAGACATAAATTATCTTGCATCAGAACCCATCATCAGCAAATTCAGAGAGCATAAGGTGAGGTTTCACAGTTCTAACGGCGAATTAAAATCTACTTTTCAAATTGTAAAAATATGTGTCTTATTTATTTTCACAGATTTTTATTCGCAAATTAATCAACGCGAAAGCAAAAAAGGAGGATTATCGTGTGGAACGCCTCCTCTCTAACCGTCCTACCTATGAATTACAGAGGGTTGTGAAGGAACGGTAATACTATCTTTCAACTTTGTGCCTCTGCGGAGTTCACATTTTCGATGCAGCTAAAAGAAGTATTAGGAGACAAGAGCAAACAGGTTCAAACCGTATCTTGGTTTGATAACATTTAATATAAGGTTGTTAGTGTATATTTGATCTTGCTGCTGAAGGTATAAAATTTTTACTCGTAAAATTCTGGTTGCCTGTGATAGCTAAGCTTTGGGTTTTACAGTTTTTGCTTCATCGATTTCTGTTACCCCGCTGTGGTCCTTTAAACATTTTGTAGTAGTGTTAAGCCTAATTTTTAATAGGTTGTAATTTGTAATATACGTTTTTTTGGAGGAATAAGCGATGTAGTTGGTCTGCAATAGAAACGGTTTAGCGGCTGGTCTAAATTAGTGCTTGAATATAAAACGGGACTCATTTTGATTGAATGTAAAAGGACCGTTGTTGTCGTTCCACTTTTATGGATTTTGCTTTCCTAGGTACCCAAAGTTTGAATCAGCTCTGAGAGATCTGGACGATGCGTTGTGTCTTTGTTTTGCGTTTGCTGCATTACCTCATACCAGGAAACTGTCGGCGACGTTGATTGCCAACTGCCGTCGGTTAACTGCTGAATTTAACAATTTTATCATAGAGTCACATTCATTAACAAAGGTTTTTGTTTTATAGTGTGATAGAAATTCAACTGCAAATCATTCCGATTATGAATTTTTTTCTGATTTTCCGTCATGCTAGGCTTCGAAATTGGTTTACCAAAATACACGCCTGCCATGTTGCTGCAAGGCAAGAGTTCTTCGTTTTTTTTTTCCAGGTCTTTATTTCGATAAAAGGCATTTACTATCAGGCGCAAGTTAAAGGTGAGGTGTTGACATGGATTGTTGGACACGATCGTGGGGTAGGAGAAATTACTGAAGTTAACTTCTCGATTCTCTCCGTGTTTGCTGAGTTTTATGTTGCTTTATTAGAATCTGTTAACTGCCATCTATACAGATCCATTGGACTTTACTACCCTCCTAAACTGTCATATTCGACAAATTCGGTAATGTTAAGTGCATTTTTCTTTCTATTTTATGCTTTATCGTTCGTGAAATTGGCCATTTGTGGTTAATAGCTTGTCTATGTTTTTTTTTAGGTTGAGGAGATGGACGAAGATGAGCAAGAGAAGGTTTACGGGCTTGCCACTCCTTTGGCAAAGCAGGATCCTTCTGACGAGCTGACACTGCCAGATTTGAATATTGAAAGTGAGGAAACTAACGAGCTCGTGGAGAAATTTAAGGACGCTGAGGCAAAAAAGAAACTTTTTGTCAACTGTTGGTTTTGGTTAAATCGTGAGACTCCAAAAGAAGTTCTGGCATTGATAATAAGGTGTTCTTCAAAGTTTCACATCTTATCACACTTCTTTGCGTTCCTAAAGGTGGAAATCGTTTACAGCTTAAAAATTTAGAACTTGTGGCGGCATGGTCTCTTGGGAAAATTGTCCTGGTGGTTTATTCACGGAAACCGATTCAAGAATTACACACCAAATTGTGGACCGTCCGCTTAACGAAACAAATATTAGCAGGTATATGGAAACTTCATGTTTTTGACGTGTTTGCAACCAGAACAGTCTGAAGTTTTTCAGGTGTTACATACAACCACAGTGGGTTGTTGACTGCTTCAATTTAAGAAGACGTTTACCGGTACAGAAATATTTGCCAGGAGCTGTTTTGCCTCCACATCTTTCTCCGTTTACTGACGACACGCCTGGACAGTATATTCCAGAAGAGAGGATTGAACAGCTGAAAGAAAGCGGAGTTGGTATGATTCCTTTTTACCTTTGAGAGCATTGATGCCGATTTTGAAACCGTCTGCCTTCCGTAAGGCTATCATCTTTTTGCAAAACCTGTACCCCTTAAAATCCTTCCACTTTGCAGACGTTGGTCCATTACTGAGAAACGACAGAGAGGAGATGAAACAGGCACCCCCCACCAAAAAAGTGAAGCAAAAGAAAGGAATGTTTGTCGAGTTGGGGGCAACACATAAGAAGGATGTGGAAGCAGAAAAGCATGAGAAGGTTGCTTACCTAATTTTTTTAGTTCTCATATTTGCTCTCTTTACAAAGGTTGTGAAATCATTCTATTTTTCAGGCTCAGAATCTGAGAATGAGAGAAATGATGATTGCAAAGAAACACCGGCGAGTGTATCACAAAATCCAAAGAGGAATCAAACGGCGAGACCGAGAAATAAAGGCATTGAAAGAAAAACGAACGAAATTGTCTACGAATGGAGTATGAGTTCTGTTGTCGTTGACAGGTGCGCAAAGATTCTATACCACCGTTGTGAGATAAGTGAAAAACAAATACGCATAAACTTCTAATCTTGAGAAAACCAGATCACGTTTGCTTAGGACCACTGGTTCGGATTTGTTGGTACAAACTGGAGAAAATTCGCTAGTTTCAAGCGAAACTAGCGTACGAATGGATTAATAATTCGTAAAACGAGGCTACTGCCTTTTACCCTCTATTGAGAAGCCTAACTGGTAACCGCGTAGAAAATAAATTGAGGATTGCCAGGTACAAGCCTAGCGAGTGTGGAAAACAATGAGATCAGAACAACTTCCCCTTATGCATTGTGAAGGCACCTAAATAAGGTTCAAAGTTACACTCGACAGTCAAGTCTAATGTCCGGTTTTAAAGGCGTGTAATGCAAAATTACTGACCAAGTACAAAAACTTAATATAAAGATATGAGTGCACTAAATTGAATTATTTTGCCTTGCAGTGGCTGTCTTACTTTGCCAAATGAATTTCTTTGTTTCAAGAACATTAAATTCTTAGAACTCTTCATAACTAAATAATTTATTTTTAAAATAGACGATTTCTAGAATAAAAGTAATAGTTACGAGGCATTAAACATTAGGATTTGGAAAATATGGAGGCTTAAGACTAATTAAGTACAATAATTAAATGAGAATAATTAAATGACTCAGCGTAAAATTAGTCAAGAACAAGATCTCAGACAAGTTGGCCTATTTAACAAAAAGCTCCCGCTGTTAAAGTAACCAGATGTGAGCAAAAGATGAAGAAGAGCTGGCAGGAACTCTTTGTCAAAATAAGAAGACAAAGCGCAGATCTTGATGAAGGCACTCGACTTAAGTGAAGAGTTAGGATAAAATGGGATTACTAACGCAGTCGGTTGCAGCAAGCAGCATTTAAACCACCATTTGCACTTATAATCAGGAATTTACACCGTAACCAAGACGCTTTCCTGAAGCTAAGCTTAAAACAACTCCATAAATCATCATTTCGCAGAGTAATTTTTATGCTGGGAACTCCGGGTGCGGCAGCTACTGTCAGAAAATCTTTAATTCCCTTAAATCTATTTCGAAAATCGGTTCTGGGAGTACCGAAGTATCTCTGGCACGTATTCACTATTAAGAAGACAGAAGCGAAATGCAAGAAACTCGACTACTACACAAGTTTTTTCTATAAGAATTAGTCAAACCAGTGATTCCACTGACAATCTTCCGTCCAAAGTTTAACACATACGAAACACCAATGTGCATTGCAGTGTATACAGTGCATATGCGTACACCCTCCACTCCGCTCAGTTTGGGCGCCACAAGAAGGACATTTCTTACATAGTGTTCGTATTGTAGCTCGTGTTGCATCAGCTTCGTCACATACACATTTTTGTAAACGGCATTCTCCACAGAACTTACACTGACAGTGAGGACAACGAACCTAAAAAATTTATAACGTATCTAATAATTATCTGCCTGAACAAGTCCAGCAGCTAACTACAAAAACGAAAAGCAAGTTAAGAATTCAACAAGAACCATTCGGTCCTCTTCTTGTGGATCCCATATAAAAGCTGCTCCACATTTCGGATTGGGACAAAAAATTCCTCCTTCATTTAAAGCAACAAATTTTTCGGCCGCCTGTTTCTTGTAAGATTCGTACTGTTCTTTCCCCAGAAGGTAAAAGTGGTGAGGATCGGCCACGCAACCTGCAAAAAAAATCTAGCAGCATGTTCCGCTTAGAACGTAAATACCACGATTACAAGGAAAGACCCAGTAACTGCCACATTTCTGCACAAAAAGCAGGCACGAATGGTTAAAACATGAAAGTTTTGCTCGTTTTTACAAATTAAGTGAGATTATATTTGCATCAAGATACAAAAACCACCAATCAAAACTGATGGTTTCTTGCTTTAGTAACAAAACCGTGAAATTTGGACCCACGCAAGACGTGCTGTGCTTCTTCAAGATTTAATTTTATCATTAAAATTACTTTCACTATAAAATAGAAATGCAGTAAAATTTTAAAACTGCCTTCGGAATTCATGATGAAATTTATGTCAAAAAGTTGGTCTTCACAACCTTAAAACTACTGAAGATCGGTAATTTTTAGTACTTTTATTTCTGCTAAGAACTGAATGAACAGAAAATTAGAAGAAAAAACTACTTTTTAAAAACCTTTAATATGCGCAAAAACGTAACTTTAAGAACTGGAAAATTGGATGTGCAACTCAATGTGCAACAAAACCTTAATCTTTAATGCAGTAACCTGTGAAGTATTCAGAATTATATAAAGAAATCTTCTTGTTACGTATCCTCACTAATCAACCAGTAATAAACTCTTCTTGTTGTGTATCCTCACTAATCAACCAGTAACAAGCAAAAATAAATAAAAGTGATTGTAAGGTAGTAAGACCATAATAAAGTGTTAATTAGAAAAGGTTTCTTGGTACCATTGCAGTTATATATAGGACACGAAAGCGTGTAACCATATGGTGGCCTCAAAATGAACTGTTGTTGCCGGAATGTAGTATTCATATAAGCAACAAAGCATGCCAAACAAATGCTATGATGGCAGCCCAGGTCAACAACCACCTGAAAATACAACAATTTAAATAACTGGACAAATATATATGGTCGAGAAAAACTTACTTCTGTTATAGTTTCACCGCATATACAACATTCACTTCCCATCGTAGAGCCACGAAAGTGAATAAGCGGCAAAGCCATCTAGAAAGAATCACAAATTGTAACATCCTCCGTACGACTAAACTAGTAAATCATCTTTCGTTTTTAACACTACTTTATTCTGTTATGCCGTGCCACAAAAAAGACATCAGAGCAAAAAATAACAAAGAACGAACTACTAATCTAGAACTGAAGAACTTACTTCATCGCACCGAACACATTTGAAACAGAATCTAGCAGGAATTTCTTGACCACACTCTTGACAGTCAGCAGTTATTCTTGAGCTGAAATGAACTTTTGTCCTTTTGCATCTACTGCTAGCAAAATAAATTAGATATACAAAAAACGACTATACACCGGTGCATCACTGAAAAAATAATTTTACCAACTACAAAGAACTGAACCCAATCAAGTTTTACTCTACTGCTATGACTCCGAATTCCACGTCCGTCAATGCTTACGGTTTCAAAACATCGTCCCAGCCGGATGGATCCTGCCTCAGTAAAACGGAGCTCGACGAGCATTCAGAACAATATACTCGCAATTTTCCTCGCTGTACAGAATCACATGCTTTGCAGTACACTTGGAAAGACGCTGCAGTGCTGCGGCTTACGTCCTCAATGGACGAAGGTTTTGAAGCTGTTTGTTCCTCACCAGCGTCCACTAAGAGTGCAACAAGAGACCTACGATGTAAAACAACGCGTAGTAAATTTTTGGTATTCTTTCTTATCAGCATATCATCAACAGTTTGTCACAGTATAGTTGAGACAATCCAATTATAACAGCACAAATGTAGAGGCAACAAAATTCAAACGTATTTTCAGCAAAGCAGATACAGATCTAATTTTCACCAGGGCAGTGAAAATACGAAAGAAAACTTTTTTTGGAATTTTTAAGGCTAAAAATTCTTACTTGACGAATAAAAATAAGCAACAAAGGTTACTCACGTTTGTGGTCCCAAAAGAAGATTACTAATTGAAATTTTTCCTTCCAATACTTTTCCACAAAGGATCAACTTGATACAAGAACTGGGAACATCCACTTTTTTTGACAGTTCCTGAGTAACATCCTGTACACTGTTACTTGGTTCCAGATCAATAACAAAATTTTGCGCCTTTCTGCTGCTACCGTTCCTTTCTGAACGTCGATTTCTGACTGTCACAAGTATTTGCATCTCTGATTTCCCATTAATTTACAAGTACCGACCGAGGTACAAATACAACGCACTGATGCATATAGATGGTGGATCGGAAAACACACGTGAACTACAATTACGAAAACGATATTTCTTCATCAAAGCAAAGACAAACGTCGAAATACAGTTGCACTCAAAGTAAACCATATGATTTCATAATGGAAAACCAAGGTGTTTAGTTTAAGCAGAATTGGTCTTGAACAGAATTTCCGGCACATGGCAGGTAAAAATAATCTTCAAGTTATACGTATAAATGTATGTGTGGATGCGTATCAACCTCATTTTCATTCATATAATTGATCATAACTCCTGGCTATAGAAGCGTTGCATCTACTGATGCCTCACACAATATTACCATGGCAATTTAATGTATTGTTTTCTCTTGGAAAACTACTTTTCTGCTACACAAATGTAACAGGGATAACTATCAAACTACTAGTTCTCTTACAAAAGGTATGTGGGTAAACCTCTAACTCTAATTATTCAAACTTCTGAAGTGCTTATCCGTTTAAAATATTGTTCTAAGCAATTTACCGCGATATGGTGAAGTGGCTGAGTGGCTAGAGCCAGTTCCTGCAGTGATATTGAATATTTAGTTGAGTAGAAATGTCTTTATTTTTGAATTATGACTATGTTATAAGTTAAACTTGTTGACTTTCGAGCAGTTGTACTTTGCTGTTGAGTTATTCTTGAGTTTATTTTGTGCAGTTTACTTTTTTTCCCTAGATTCGTCAGGACTAACTGTACAGTTCCAGTTCTCTTCTACTTTTCTGCAGTTTTTGCATGTTAGGTATCTCCGTGACATAAAGAATTCTTTTCAAGGACGATTGTGCTGCTGCTTTTAACCTAAAAGCTAAATAAGTAGTTCATTGTGTTTTAATTGGAAAATGACGCTTGCTGAGGTGGAATTTGATCCAGGAAATTTGTCGTCTTGTTACTAACTATCGTTTTCACGAATGAGCGTCATTCAGAGGCTGGATTACTGTTATGTTAGAACGTTTTAATTAATCATCCTTTTGGTTGTCTTTGCATGTAAACATTTTTAAAGCGTTGCCCATCGTAAAAGTGTTTTCCATTAGCACTGTTGAGAAGCAAATTTGTTACTTTGCAGGGTATTTAGACTAGATTCGTACTGAAAACAACATGGTAGAAATAAGAGAAGAGTCCTCGGAGCCTCATTATTCAGGTTCAACAAATACGCATTCTCGCGCTCGGCAAGAAGGTGAAAGTGACCCAAATGTGGGTGTATCTGCCCTTGTAAGTTTCCTCCATAAATCCGCTTTTTGTACGCAAAGCTAGTTGTTTTACTGCACTAAGATTTTGTATTTGACAACCACTTATTTTCTTACTCACATGCTCTTGCGAGCATCTTCCCAGAAACCCATTATTTTTATAGGTCGTGCGGAAAAAGTTTTTTAGGGCTAAACTTGATGTATACTAGTATGAGAGTATCAAAAAGATGTATAGCGAACGGCAGAGATAATCAATAAATTTATTGTGAAGTCTCATTTGGGAACAGGAGTTAATTTAAGATTTAAGAGATCAACTAAATCTTTAATTTTCGAAACTGTAGTTTGCACAGCGCCTTTTACCTTGTAGTCAGCTTTTTTTTTATGAGCAGCGCCTTTTTCATTTTAACTATACAGTCAAATTTTTCAAAGTGTTAAATACTATTTTAGGAATTCCTGAAGAATCAACCAAGTGAAGTAGCTCTGTTTTTAACGAGACTTATAACTATATATTGTTCGCTGTCTTATGTATTACCAGTAGGAAAACTGAGCGCGCAGCACACTGCATATTCTAGAGCATTTTTTGCTGGTTATTCTGTTTTATTTATATATATTTTTGGTTTTTATGGTAACCTTTTGGTTACCGTAATTGTCCCTAAACTCTATAATCGAATTTCGAAAAACTATAGATGCTGAACTTTATATTTGTTCTTTGACTGAATTCTTCTCTTTTAGCAGCGGCCACGAATGCCATACGACTGCATCAACGAGTCGGTGGAGTACGGTTTTCTCGAGATTTTTTTTTAAGTGTTATTGCTGAGGATGCGTGCCATTACCTATTGTATTCGATCCTTTTTGTTTCTGCTGCTCCAGTAACAAGTAGGAGCTGTACAATTTAGATTTTTTATTGAACCTAGTTGCTTCTTTCTGCAGCTGTGACTTGCTAGAAATTCAGCTTGAATTGGATACAGTTTTTAAATGCTTAAAAAATTTCAAAAACGCTGATTATCGTTTTGCAATCTCGTTTTTCTTTCAAAGCCTGGAGAATAAAACGACATTTATCAAAGGCAGGGGACATCTTTAGCGCAATTTTTATAGTCATGATTGTTATTAGTGAGCGCTTTACATAAAGATTGTGTGAGTTTTATTAGGTATTCCGACACAGCTTTATATAATATCTGTAAACAAAAATTTAGGTTCCTTGCGTAATTAGTTTAGCTTTTTCAGTGGCGCTTTTGCCAGTGTTTTTGTTCGCTGTTTTACACGCGGCCAGTTTTTGCAAAAGATTTTGCATTTCTACTGGAAATGGAACTGGATTCGTTGCTCGGATGCTAGACGAATTTATTAAGAACCACAGTTCGAACTTGTTGTTTGTCATCGCCTACTCAGAGATTTTTATTATGCCCCTATTTGTCGCTCTGATTTTCACGTAAATTTTCTAGTTTTTAGAAGCTCACTAGGCTAAGATATTATAAAGATTTGGCATTAAGTTTAGATTTTTTAAATTCCCTAAAGATCTTAGCATAAGTTCCAAAGTTTCTTTTATCCTTCAAAACTATGTATGGTTCAACAAAAAAAGTTTTGCTAAATTATGTAAGCAAGATTATACTTGAGAATATGATTTTAGTGGCAAAGGGTCAATTTTCTTTCCGATAATTTACTATCGTTTCTTAGCGTTCCGATATATGTCCCGAAGAAATGACACTACCAGGTAGTTTATTGTTGAAGCTTGTGCTACCAGTTTTCAGTCAAAATACAAATATTATTTTTTTTCAGAGGCTACATTCTCAAATAAGTTGTTTTTAAGGAAGAAGGCCAATTTGTCTTGTATTTCTTTTTTGATATACTTTTCAGAATTGCTTTCTGGCAACTCCGATGTTCACTTGAAAGAGCTGTTGCGAGCCCAAGTTGCCCCTTGAAAGTCCGAGATTGTGCGTATGCTTTTATTCGTTTAATATGTCGGCTTTGCCCAACTTGAGTTCGCAGTAATTTTCCAGGCTCGCATCTACTGAGAATCACAGAACTGTTCTATGCCAAGGTTCAGTTCCAAACATTGTACAACTAGATTGCATGCTGAATATTAATTTCCTTAATAATTTCCATATTCTGTGGAAAAGATCTCTTAGAATTAACGCAAGTTGATGAGTTTTTTTTCATAGTTACACTGTTTTCTGCCAAGTAATGAGAACTTTCCTATTACAGAAATCTGTGGAGATATAATGTTTTTGTTCTACACTTTTTGCTGCAGATCCCTGTTTATTCTTTTAGACTTTTTGTATGTATGTGTTTGTTCTAAAAAGTTTGTGGCTTTAGAATTATTCACAACGTTTGCTTCTAGCTCTTGTTTTAGTTTTTATATTGGATTCAAAAGTTAGGAAAGTTTCCTAAAGTTAAAAGTTGTCTGATGCTTTTTATTCAAGTTTTTTGTTTTATAACTATGCTTGTTTAATCTCTCATTTTATAACTATGCTAATTTAAATTCAAATTATACTATTATTCTGGTTTGTGACAATAAACCGCGAACTCAATGATTGCATCTCTCTTGTTCACTTCGTTTTTTAACCCCTTAGTTTGTTTCTTTTACGGTTATTTTAAGCTGGTTTTGGATAGTATCATCTTGATTCTTTAGAAGTTTGAATTTCTTTTTTCTCGTTGTCACTAATAGTCAGCTTTGATTCGCTACGAAGAAGCAGC